ATATAAATTTAATTTATTATGGTTGGTTACATAATCAGCTAGTTGTTTAGACTGGATTTGTCATTTTTATCTACCTATCGAGTCTTTCCCAGGGATGTGGGATAGACAGATGTTGTTTGCTGGTATTATTATTAAGCAGAATTCCCCAGCCAGGGGGAAATCTGGGAGTTGAAGTCCACAAGTCCACAACACTGATTTCTGTTGTTGATGCTTAACTAACCTTTTTGAAGTCCACAAGTCCACAACACTGATGCTTAACTAACCTTTTTTCCCCCCTGCTTTCCCACCTTTGTAGTTCACTTAAGCTGCTTATGTCTGTGTCTGCAACTTGTAGTTTGTGACATAAAGTTACCTGTCTGCTTTTCATTGTGGTTGTTGTCTTCCTTCTTCTGGCTTATTGCAAGATCTCCACAATCAGTATACATTAGTATGTTCCTTTAAGATACTATCTGACCTCTACTTTTTAAGTTCATTTCCATTTCTTCATATAATTCCAATATATTCCTTCCAATAGGACTCGAGAGAAGAGATTAAAAACAAGTGCGGTATTATTAAATGACAACCAGCAATAAAATAGTGCAGTGTGAATGTTTATGATCAAAATGGTAGATTTATGTCCACTGCAATACCTTTCCCTTTTCTGAATAATGCATAGTTTATGTGGTGTTTCTATTTTGCATTTTATAGTGGTACTTTGGTACTCATCATTAATTGGTTCCAGGAGGCATGATGAGTAGCACACAGATTTTTCCCTTAAGGAATAATATAGTGAGTGAGTCAACAGCAGCCAACACTGACACGTTCTAGCTTGTATGTTGAGTATCAAACACACAATGAGTACTGGGGCAAAATTTTTGCGTCGAAATGTGTTGAGCACCAAATTCAGTGAATTTCAAAGTAGTTGAGTATGATAGCAAGGTACCACTGTATGAGCATTCCTCAACTGACAATAGTTCATTCGAAGTTACAATGGCACTGAAAAAAGTTACTTATGACCATTTTCACACTTTCAACCACTGCAGCATCCCCAGGGTCACATGATCAAAATTTGGATGCTTAGCAACCGGTTCACATCTATGACCATTGCAGTGTCCTGGAGCTATGTCATTATGTTTTGCAACGTTCTGATAAGCCAATAGGAAAGCCAGATTTATTTAACAACCAAGTTACTAATTTAACAACTGCAGTGATTCAGTTAAAAACTGTGGCAAGAAAGGTCGTAAAATGGGACAAAATTCACTTGACAAATGTCTCACTTAGCAACAAAAATTTTGGTCGTAATTGTGGTTGTACGTCAAGGACTACCTGCATTTGATTTTACACTATTTTACTCTGTTTTACAAATAATCTTTGTTTTGATGACTCACTCAATAAGTGAAATGTTTGCTAAGTAAAAAAGTAAGAGAGAGGCTGTGAACATCACTGGCTGCTGCCGTTTTCTTCAAATAAAGTTCTCTCAGACAGTGTCATATGCCTGACCCTTTTTTCTCCTTTTTTTTTGCCCTTGGACAGGTCAGAAGGATTACTTAAACAATCTATCTCTTCCTGAGCTGCTTATTTCTGCACAACTAAAGTTCACAAACTCACCTGTGTGAACTAACGTAGCTGATTAGAACTGTAACTGCTGGTAACTTCTGCCTGAAACTGACCAGACTCTAATCAGTTTCATGCTGACATTGCGGTCAACCTAGGCATTGGGCGGAAAATGAATCGTTTATTGCCATTTATTACTGTCCCATTTGCAAACGGCCACTATCTGTGGCAGTTGCTAAACGAGGACTGCCAGTATTGTAAGCTGCCCAGAGATCAGTTGAGCTGTGATTGGTTAAAACATTTTAATAAGTAAATAAATTGGGGTTGGGGACAGAGGGGTTGTAACTTCCTCTGTTGTTGAAGACATCATACATGATTTTGCTCTTTATGCCCTCATTAATTCCTCTGTATGTTTTTCTTTTCCTTCTTTTGATAGTTTGATCTGGATATTGAACCCAAGATCTTCCACAAGGCAACTCGGCTGAGTAATGCCCATGTTTTGTCCCCCAACGAAAGCCAAGAATTCTCCTTCGGCAGCGAGCCAGCCTCTAAAGGTATGCAGCCTCTCAGCGAGACTGTGTCCGAATTTGAGATGCTAGCCAAAGCAGGTAAAGATACATTGTTCTTAACTTCCCATCTTATTCCACCTGTACATCACCTTTTATTTTCCCCTCCCATTCTCTCCCTTTCATCGGTCACTTTTTTTTTTCCTTTTGGCATGCGTTTGGCATCCATCCACCACTCACTCTATGCTTCCCTCCCCCCAAAGATTTTAACTTGATTTCTAAACTGGCATGTGGGCTAATGTCCTTGGGGAAGTAGTGGACTTGCCAGAGGAAACTGCTTGGCTTGTGACTGCCTGTTGGATCTACATGATGCGGAACCTCTTCTGTTGCATTTGTTGATGGAGGGGCGTGTATGGAAGGCGGAACAGTATCGCAATAGAGAAAATGGCATCACTTTGGATAGGAAAGCAACATTTGGGGGTCATTTGTGTCTGGGATCCATTTATTAGTATCCTGAGAGCACTCAGGGTGGAGAGGCAGGATACAAACTTTTCTTTATAGGGACTTTTCTTCTCCGTCCGTTATGCCGAAACATCCTTGTTGTGCACCTTAAATAAGAATTTGAGGGATGAAATAAAATGCTGTGCCTCACTCTTCAATCTTACGAACATCGCCGCATCCCCATGGTCATAGGATCAAAATTCGGACACTTGGCAACTGACTCATATTTATGACTGTTGCAGTGTCCTGGGGTCATGGGATCCTCTTTTGTGACCTTTTGACAAGTAAAGTCAATGGGGAAGCCAGTTCCACTTAACAACCATGTTACTAACTTAATAACTGCAATGATTCACTTAACAACTGTGACAAGAAAGGGCGTAGAATGGGGCAAAACTCACTTAATAAATGTCTCAGCAACATAAATTCTGGGCTTAATTGTGGTCGCAAGTCAAGGACTGCCTGTATACAGGTGGTTGAAAGGGGGTATTGCTTCCCAGTATAGGCTTGGGAGAGTCTCAAATGCTGTTGGGTGACAGAGTGGAAGGGCTTGTAGCCTGATCCAGCAGGACTATTCTTATATTCTTATACTCGTGTTTCACTCTTTTTGTTAAGACCAGTCACACCTGAAATCAGAAGTTTACATTCTTACCTGGTCTGAAAAGTTCTGGCTCCTTGTTTCTGAAACTTACCTGAAATTCGTGCAAATCCCAGTTTGCGTTCCTACTTAGTAAGGGCACAAAAAGTCAGAATCTTGGTTAGTTTTGCCTTGACTTTCCCACCATTGGATCTCCCAAAATGCCTGGACTACAGCTTTCAGCAAATTTGCCATGCCGGAGTAGCTATTCAGAGATCTTGTCCAGTATAGCTATGGGGTGAGGACTTGAGACCGGCCAATAATAACCTGAGCCTTCAGAAGGAGCCCAATACTGCAAAATTAGCTTATGTACACAGTTTATAGTAAACCAGGATTTTTCAAAACCCCAATTGATTACTTATTTACTATATTTATACCCCACTGTCCTGTTCAGAAAAAAAACACCATTGAAGTGGGCTTACTTTTTCAAATGTGCACACCAAAGCACAGAAATCAATCAATAAAACACAAAGAATGCAGGTTTTTTTTTTTTTAAAAAAATGCTGCTTGTCCATGCAATCATTTTGACATCACAATGCCTGCTCTGATTTTTATTTTCATTTGAATTCATTTGAATATTTAATTTGAATATTTCTAAACTGCGTCTTTATTTCTTCTATCCTTGCCTTCTAAAACGCTTCTTTTTGACTGGATTGGTAGTGTGGCCGCAGGAAGAATACATTGTGGAATATTCCTTTGAGTACGGATTCCTCCGATTATCCCAAAGCACCCGTCAACGTCTGAGCATTCCTGTCATGGTGGTGACTCTGGGTAAATGTCTATTTTACCATTCCATTCTTAACCATTGCTAAGCCTCCAGAAGTTGTGGGTGCTCCAACCCTGGTGGTTTTTAAGAAGAGATTTTTCTGAAGTGGTATAGGGCAGTGTTTGTTTGAGGATGGGTGGACTTCAACTCCCAAAAGTTGAAGGCTGGGGAATTCTGGGAGCTGAAATCCACCCATCTTCAAGTTGCCAAGTTTGAGAAACATTGGATAGGGTTTTCTGCCTGAGTAGGAGATTGGAGTAGAAGACCTCCAAGGTCCCTTCCAATTCTGTTATTCTATTAAGAACTCATAAGTTTGGAAACTAAGATAGAAGAGTTATCAAACTAATAATCAGACTGCCACAGTATAATATTCTGTTTCGGGTTTTCTTTGGATGTTGCTGTAGATCAGGGGTGTCAAACTCAAGGCCGGGAATCTGGCCCACAGGGTGCTTAGATCTGGCCTGTAGGACCACCCTGGGGACAGAGAAGGACTGACCTGTGGTGCCTCTGCCAGTTAAAACAGAGCCCCAAGGACAATGGTGGCTAACCTTTTTGGGCTCCTGTGCCAAAAATTGTGCGCGTGCTTGCACGCTCGTGCTCATGTGCCAGCACCCAGAAGGCAATGTGCGCCCCCCTATGCCCCCTATGCATGCGTGCACAATACCCACCCACCCATTCCCTGTCGCCCCCTTACTTGCACTGCGCCTCACAGCTGATTTTCGGCCAGTTTGAGGCCTTTTTCAGCCTCCCAGAGGCTTGAGGAAGGCTTCTGCAAGCTTTGCAGGCCGAAAACTAGCCCCATTTCATCACTTCCGGTATTTTCGGAAAAACAGGAAGTGATGAAACGGGGCTAGTTTTTGGCCTGCAAAGCCATTTTAATAATTAAAATGTTCCCATCCTTTCCTAATTTAATTCTCTCATTCACTTTATTTCATTTATTTATTAACAAACATTCCACTAGATTATGATAAATATTTTATCCATCATTTTAATCATATTTTCTAAAATGGTTTCTATTTGTAATATAACAATACTACCTTATGTACCTTTGCAGAATCCCTTTTACAATTAAGTTTTCACCCATTATCTCTAAACAGGCTCGTTTGTTGCATTTCATGGCTCCCAAACTTATAGAGAAATTGTGAATTTCCATACAACTGTCTCCATACAGCTAAAACAGCTCATGGATATTTGATCTCCTAAGAGGAAGCCCAAATTAAAAATAGAAAATGGGAATCCTGATTCTATGGCACATGAGGCCCACCAGGCTGCAGAATGGAGGAGGCCAACATTTTCTTCTTTAGCCACGGGGTTCCCCAACGTGGTACCCAGGAATGCCCCTCCCCAACATAACACCTGCGGTAGCCATCAGTCTCCTTATCCTAGCCAATATTTTATCAAAATGTTCTTTTTCCTTAAAAAACAGAAAACTGACATACTACTAAACACAGCACCAGCCTCCAGCATCATATTTGGAATATCTCTAGGCTCCAAGCGATTCCATAAATGTCCTTAACAAATAAGAAATATGCTTTATTTTGTTTTGAAGTGTCTCCCCAATTATCCGCCTGGGATCCACAACTTTTAAAGTTCTCAGCAGGCCCACCAGAAACATTTGAGGCAATGGTTAGTTAGTTAGCTAGTTAGTTGATTAGTTAATCCTTGTGGTTAAATAGCAAAGGCAGAATTTGCTGCAGGCTTTTAGTCATAAGAGTTTTCCCAAGGAAAGAAGAGAAGATAAAATCGTTTCCAGTTAGTATGAATATCAGTCTTTCTAGGACCCAGGGAAGAGTCAATCATCAGAGTTGATTTTATTTCCTATGTGCTCAAAGTCTTATCCAGTTCCTTTCAAAACTGATTTTCCTGACATTCAGTTTCCATTTTGGATAAGTCTGACCATTGTTATCTTGTTCAGACTTAACTCTTTGAATCCAAAACCTTTTCTCTTAAGACCAAGACTCATTCATGTTTTCCTTCACTATGATTTATTTAATAATACAGTAAAGATTACAGTATTTTAAACCTATATTTTTAGTGGCAGTGTCTGCCTTGAAAGTCTTAAGTAACACATTTCAGATAATTTAAGCCTGCAAATTGACCCCACCTTCCTGAAAGGTAGAGGCTTCTTCCTTCTTCTAACAATTTTCTCCCAATTTTGGGAATTGTAGCCTACACATTGGAAAAAGCTCCTGTGGTTGAGAAACACTTGTGCTAGACTTTTGTGTGAAATTCTGCCTTGTGGGTCTTTTCTGCTGTAATTTAACTTTGTCCGCCGTCGCTCTTCTTACAGATCCCACCCGGGACCAGTGCTTTGGAGACAGGTTCAGCCGCCTCTTATTGGATGAATTCTTAGGATACGATGACATTCTCATGTCCAGTGTGAAAGCCTTGGCTGAAAACGAGGAGAATAAAGGTTCGGAAAAAGGGCACGTGGGTCGAAGCATGAGTACAAAACCTCTGCGACATGCTCTATATTGTTCGGATTGTTGTGGTCTCTTGGCTGCTACACGTGTTGCCATGTTTTACATTATATTTTGCATTGTTTTCCCCTATTATAAGCCACCCTGAATCACTCAGTAGAGACAGGCAGGTCTAGAAATTGAAAGCCATCTCCCAGAAAACAGAAGCGGGCAAATGTTTGACATTCGGCTGTTTGAAGTGAGAGATGGTCTTGATACAGTTAAAGGTAGACCTCGACTTACAACCACTTGTTTAATGACAAGAGCACTGGAAAAAAAAAAGACTTATAGGTTCTTACACTTACGACCATCATAACATCCCCATGATCACGTGATCAAAATTCAGGTGCTTGGCAATTGGCATCTATTTAATGATGGTTGTAGCATCCCTGGGTCATATGGTCATCATTTGGGACCTTCCCAAACAGCTTCCAGCAAGCAAACTCAGTTGGGAAAACCAGATTCACTTAACTATCCTGGGATTCCCATAACAATCCCGCTGCGATTTGTTTAACAACCGTGCCAAAAATTGCAAAATCGGGTGCGACTCCCTTAACTTAATGTCACAATTGTGATCAAAAGGACTACTCCTTTATCCCTGGGATGGCTGTGTATTTGTGGAACAATATCCCACTACTTTAATTTGCACAGTCTGTGGCTGAGCCATTTTTTTTTTTCTTTACGACAAACGTCACAGAATTGGAAGGAGCCATTGAGTCCAGCTAACTCCCTGCTCTGTACAGGAATCTCAATTAAAGCTGTGATAATAGGTAGCTGGCCAGCACTTGCTTAAGGGGTATGAGTGTGAGTATCTTCTTCCTATTTATAATATACTCATTGTTTGCAGAGATGAAAGCCTTAGCTTTGCTTTCTGGAATGCAGTTCTTCTTGCCTTGGATAGGGAGTTGTGCTTGTTAAATAATCTTGATTAGATTATACACTCTCTTGGAGAGAGGGGATTGTTTTGAAGATTGTCCAGACCCTTTCAGACAGAGGGGGCAAGGTTTCAAATTGGTTGGAGACTGGCTGTTTGGAAAATTATACAGATGCTGTGTTGTGTGAGCTGCTTTGATTGCCAGCCTGTTTCTAAAACATAAGAGAAGAAACTTTGGATGCTTGTTTTAAAGTCTTGAAAGATTGCCCCTTTAATATGGTAACTCTTTGGTGATTTTTGGAAGACCTCCTGACTCCCCCCCCCCCCCCCCCCCCCCCCCATGAAATGATGGCTGTGGGGCTTCAGTAATGGAATAACATCTTTACACCTCATTTTTAAAATTCCTAATCACTATGGCTGAAAAAGAAAATGGAAATCTCAGGAGCCGAAATAGGCACATTTGAAAAATCTCAGGGGTAGAACAAGCTTCATTACTTCTCTTTGTAGTTGGTGAACCAAATGTGGATGCACATTTAGCAAAATTATATATAATAATTATATATAATATATAAACCCCAAGAGGTTTCCGCCTGGCACCTTCTTCAGGCTGTCAAAAAAAATGTTGAGTGTCCTTTTGGGAGAGTGATTGGTGGTTGACTGACTGAAGTACAGGTAGCCCTCAACTTACTACCACAATTGAGCCCAAAACTTCTGTTGCTGAGTGAACCATTTGTTAAGTGAATTTTGCCCTATTTTGCTACTTTTCTTGCCTCAGTTGTTATGTGAATCTGTCAGCATTCCAAGTAATGCACCCATTGAAAGCAGAACTCCGAAGCAAGTAGGTTCCTCAAGTAACATTGGATACATCATATTGGCACAAAGTTAGCGCGCTTTTTACCTGATTAAAAATGTAAGTTTTCCCCTTCCCCCAAGTCTCAGTCACATGCTCCAATAGAAGTGCTGGCCAGTTGCTTGGTTACTTTGCTCCTCCTCTCCCAGCTGCCTGTCGGACTGACCTTGGTTCCCACAGGAAAAAACTTTTGTTTTGACTGCAAAACCCCAGTTAATGATTTCTCTCCCGCTCCCACCTAGTGGCAAACTCTGAAGCCTCAAAAATGGCCCCAGCCAGATTCGCTTCAGGATTGACATTAACATCAATTGGAATAGAGCTGGAAGGGTCTTCTAATCCAGCCCCCTGCTCAAGCAGGAGAACTAAAGCATTTCAGACAAGTGACCGTCCAATCTGCTTAAAAACCTCCAGTGATGGAGCACCCACAACTTCTAGAGGCAAGCGGTTCCACTGGTTAATTGTCCTCACTTTTTAGGAAGTTTCTCCTTAGTTCCAGGTTGCTTCTCTCCTTTGTTAGTTTCCATCCATTGTTTCTTGCCTTGTCTTCTGGTGCTTCGGAAAATAGATTTAACCCCTCTTCTTTGGAGGGTTAAAAAAGTATAGGCGGCAGTCATAACCTTGCATGAAAACCAGACATGGATGCATATAAAAAAGGGATAAGGCTGGTTTTTTTTACATCCCTCTCTTTGCGGATAAATTGGTAGAGGATTTTATATTGGATTTTATGTTATGATTAAAGATAGTCCTCAATTAATGACGTTAAGTCAGCCCGCAATTTTGCTTGTAAGTTCTGATGAGAATAGAATAGAATAGAATAGAATAGAATAGAATAGAATAGAATTAGAATAGAATTAGAATAGAATTAGAATAGAATTAGAATAGAATAGAATGAAATAAGGATAGAATAGAATAGAATGGAATAGAATAGAATAGAATAGAATAGAATAGAATAGAATAGAATAGAATAGAATAGAATAGAATAGAATAGAATAGAATTCTTTATTGGCCAAGTGTGATTGGACAAACATGGAATTTGCCTTTGGTGCAAATGCTTTCATGTACATAAAAGAAAAGATACATTTGTCAAGTGTCAAGAATCATAAGGTACAACACTTAATGATAGTCATAATAAGCAATAAATCATACTAGGAAACAGCCCATATAATCAAATCATACTCGGAAACAGTCTGTCATGCGCCTAGTGGAGACTGACTCTGAGGGAGAGGAGGAACAGCCAACGAAGTGGAAGTGTGGCTCCAGAGGTTGTGGAGGAGGCTGGGGAAGGGCAGAGGCCGGCTGAGCAGTCAGAGGAGGACCCAGGCCCATCCCCTCTCCATCCTAGGGCGCGCAGGGAGGAGAGGATAAGGGAGAGACGTGGTCTACTGGGGAGGAGAGGGCCTTGATCCTCTTCATGGGCTGCAGCTGTGACAACTGCATAAGCATTTGGACCTGCGTACTGGTGAACGCTGGAAACAAAGCATGGAAATATCTCTAGTTTATGGTTCCTCTCTGAGTTTGGCGTCCTTCCCAGTGTGTGTTATCTGTGGACATCCTCCAGGCCTTATCTTGCCTGGTTTGTGTTGCTTTTTTCCTTAACTGTTTGTGTGGGAGTTTTTTTGTCTTCCGTCCAAGATATTCGGAGCTTGGAAGCAAAGTGAAGGAATAAAAGGGGTTTCACCTGTTTTCTGTGACTCTGTTTGTTTTGTATTCCACCCTGGGTCATCACACAGTCCATATAAATCATAATGATACAGGCAACAAAGTTACTGTCATACAGTCACAAGTGGGAGGGGATGGGCGATAAGGAGTGATGAGAAGATTAATAGTAATAGTAGTGCAGACTTTGTAAATAGTTGGACAGTGTTGAGGGAATTATTTGTTTAGCAGAGTGAAGACGTTTGGGGAAAAACTGTCCTTGTGTCTAGTTGTTCTGGTGTGCAGGGCTCTATAGCGTTGTTATGAGGGAAGGAGTTGAAACAGTTTATGTCCGGGATGTGAGGGGTCTGTAGATATTTTCACAGCCCTCTTTTTGACTTGTGCAGTATACAGGTCCTCGATGGAAGGCAGGTTGGTAGCAGTTGGTTTTTCCGCAATGAGTTCTCATGTGACATGACCGATTTTATGATCTTTTTGTGGCCGTTGTTAAACACAGCGGTTATAAATCTAAGCGCCTAGTCGTAAGTCGAAGACTCCCTATATTGTAAAGTGCCCAGGATCTTGGGAAGCTTTGTAGGTGTCCTATACACAAATGAGAATAAAACTCCTCTAAAACAGCGCAGCAAATGCTTTGCATTCAGGCGAGGCTTTATCTCTCTTTGGTTCGCAGTTAGCTTGGCTGGTTGTGGGCTGGTCGCACGGAAGTATCCCAGGCTGTGTGGAGACTTTCTTAAGAGAGCCAGCGTATCAAATATTTAGGAAACGCTGTTGAATGAACGAATGAATTCCTCCATTCCTCATGTTGTTATCTTTCCTCCCTCTCTTCCCCTCCTCCCACTTTTTCCTTACTGGTCTGACAGGTTTCCTTCGCAATGTGGTGTCTGGGGAACACTATCGTTTCATCAGCATGTGGATGGCTAGGACTTCCTACGTTGCAGCCTTCGTCATCATGGTGATCTTCGTGAGTATTTCTCTTCTCTTCCTTTTTTTTTTTCCCCTCAGCCTGAATCGGCCGTTGTTGTTTCCCAGAATTTTCAACCTCTTGTGGGAGACACCCAAAGCCTAGTTTGTGTTTCATGGGCCGCAATCCTGCCACAGCATAGCTCAAGGCAGCTTCGCCGGGGATGCGGAAGGGTTCCCTGTTCAACGGCTTCAATACAGGCAGTCCTCGATTTACGACAGTTCATTTAGTGACCATTCGAAGTTACAACATCACTAAAAGAGAAAGGTTTACTGTTTTTCACACTTCACAGTCATTACAGCACCCCTGGTCACGTCATCAAAATTCAGGTGCTTGGCCATGGCGATTCATATTTTTATGATGGTTGTGGCGTCCTGAGGTCCTAAGATCAACTTTTGAGACCTGACCAGCAATGTCAACGGGGAATCCGGATTCACTTAACAACCGGGTTACTAACTTAACAAGTGCAGTGATTCACTGAACAACGGTGGCAAGGAAGGTCGTAAAAGGGGGTAAAACTCACTTAAGAACAGAAATTTGTGGCTGAATTGTGATTGTTTTGTAGCCTCTGGATCTTATCAGCAACTGAACCAGCAAGGAGAGGAATCCAAGATAAAATGTTACGCAGATGGCTCCTGCTTACAGTTAACCCAACCACAACACTGTACATGACAGATGATAAAAGCAATCAAAGGTTTTGGCTGCCTTTCTGCATGCAAAATTAACAAGAAGGAAACAAAGGCGTTTTAATTTCTAAAGAACAACATTATGTGAAAGAAGAGAATGATTGTAACAAAAATACCCCCAGTGAAATGTTTAGGGCTTTATCGGATGCGATATAATGAAGGTAGTTTCCAAAGTGTTTGTTAAAAAATGTGGAAAGAAATAAAACATGACCTTGAAAGGTGCAAGAACTGAAGATTTTCCTGGCTAGGACTTACTACAATAATACTGTAAAAATGAACATATTACCTGAGATAATTAAATTAATGCATATGAGTTAAAATCCTAGATCAGATATGTGAGAGGACTGGTTCCCTGCAAAATGGCTAGCACCTGGGCTGGCGGTACCCTGTCCCTTTAAAACCTCTTTCCTAGCCAGACCAGCAACCTGTGTCTATAAAAGCTGAGCAGAGAGACAGTTGGATGTGATGGTATTGGCGGGGAAGAAGGTGGTTTGTTTTAGTTTGAGAAATTGAAGTAGCCTAAGACAAATTTACTGTTACTGTACTCCAGAAATGAGAGTCACAAAGAGATGTAGTAGTGGAAGAACAGCAGTTGTAGAACAATTTGCAAGACTGACAGTTTTTCTGAGGATAATAGCCCATCTCTGTCAACACTTTAAGAACAAAACTTTGGAATGGTTAAATGAATTGTGTTTTTCATTTTAATTCTGGGCAAATTAATTTTCATTCCAGAGAGTGCTTTTCAACTATCAGAATCTATGTGAAGGCTTTCCCGCTTTTCATGGTTGGCCTTGGGGCTTTCAGGCTTTAATGTTTACCAACCTGTCTCTTTTCAGACTCTCTCTGTTTCCATGCTGTTGCGTTACTCACATCACCAAATCTTCGTTTTTATCGGTAAGTTTTAAAAATCCTTGCCCTGAGTTTCTGCAGTGCCTGCTGTCCAGGTGGGCTTGGAATGAGCATGAGGGTGAGTTGTGAGTCGTGATGGTACAAGTGGTTAAAATGCAGAATTGCAGGCTGACGCTGCTCACTGCCAGGAGTTTGATCCTGACTGGGCTCAAGGTCGAATCAGCCTTCCATCCTTCCCTACTCAGCACCGACTACCCAATGAGGACCCAGATTGTTGGGGGCAATATGCCAACTCTGTAAACTGCTCAGAGAGGGCTGCAAAGCACCACAAAGCAGTATATAAGTCTAAATGCTATTGCTGTTGCTATGATGAGAGTACTGAGAAGCCGCAAATTATGGGAGTGGGTTCAGTGTTTTGACCGTAGTTTAAGGAGGAACTTATTTCAATTTATTCCATGCCGTTAATGTGATTATTCTGAGCACAGGAGTAATAGTGTTAGGTACAGTGGATACATTTAATTTTAATTCAGTGTAAATGAAAAACGTTCCATTTGCTATTCAGCATGCCAGGCAAAGATTGAGAATAGCTATCAGCCTTGAAAACCTGCACGTTCTTGGTTTAAACACTGCTATGGTCCATTTGCATCCTAATACATGTTAAATAACTACTCCCCGGTATGGTGCTTGCTGTGATTTATTTTAATGTGCAGTCTTGAACAGCGCAGCCAAGAAATATTTCGTTGTTTGTTCACCCTTTAATGAATCATCATTTTGGCATCCTGATATTAGATAGCAGCTGGCTGGAATCCTCTCTAGTGATGGAAATTTAATTTTCTAGCAGGGAGTAAGGTTGCATTAGCAGCTTTAGGAAGACTGCAGCTGATGTTTATAAGCGGACCTTTACAGCAATAGCAGTAGCACTTAGACTTATATGCTGCTTTATAGTGCTCGACAGACCTCTTTAAGTGGTTTTATAGAGTCAGCCTCTGGCCCCCAACAATCTGGGTTCTCATTTTACCCACCTCAGAAGGATGGAAGGCTGAGTCGACCTTGAACCTGGTGGGATTTGAACTGCCAAATTGCAGGCAGCCGATAGTCAGCAGAAGTGGCCTGCAGTATAGCACTCTAACCACTGCGCCACCGAGGCTCTTATGCAGACAGTCCTTGACTGATGACCCCAATCGGAGTCAGAATTTCCACTGCCAAGCAGTGGAATTGTTACGTGATTCGTGCCTGATTTTATGACCATTTTTTTAAACCACAGTTTTAAGCAAATCACTGCAGTTCTTAAGTGGATTGTGCAGTTGTTAAGTGACTCCCATCTTCTCCCATTGCTTGTTGTGAGCCAGCTGGGAAGGTCACAAATGACAGTGCACATGACCCTGGGATGCTGCAGCTGTTGTAAAATTGAAGGCATTTGCCAAGTGCCTGAATTTTGATTGTATGATTGTAGGAATGCTGCAATGATTGTAATTGTGATTGTAAGTCACTTTTTTCCCCCCAGTGCTGTTGTAACTTCCATCACTCAACGAAAGGTTTTAAGTCAAGGGCTGTTTGTCAAGTAGGACAGTGTTTCTCAACCGTGGCAACTTGAAGATGCGCGGACTTCAACTCCCAGCATTCCCCAGGCTAGCTCATCTGACTATTTGGGGAATTCGGGCTGTGTGGGGTACGCTGGGAATTGAAGTCCGCACATCTTGAAGTTGCCACGGTTGAGAAACCCTGAAGCAGGAGAGATGCTAAAATTGAGATTTTTTTTTGCCCCCTTGTCAGTGCTGAGCAATGGCTTCTTAAGTCAGAAATCGGAGGTTGCTTTCCAAGACCTTGAAGTATGTATAGGTTGTCCTCAACTTAGGACAGAAGTTCATTTAGTAACCATTCGAAGTTACGATAGCATTCTGGACTTCTGGTTGAGAACATCCGATGGGATAGCGATAAAAAAAGATTTTAGATTGCACGGAGATGGATAGGCTTACACTAGAATTAAAAGGTAGAGGTGATTCGGAATATTATTTGGTTTGGGACGCATGGCACAATGGCTAGAAAATAGAAGTCAAGATTAGTAATGTAATTATCATGCCTATACAAGTACTTTCAATGCTGTAGCGCTGTTACAAATGTTGAAAAATGTTCAATAAAAATATTTTTTAAAAAAAACAAAGTAACAATAACGCTGAAAAAAAAGATCTGTGAAGATTCTCGGTCGTCCAGGTCATGGATGTCCCAAAGGTGCTTTTTCAAGAGGCAACTGGGCTTGTCTTGTTTTTTTTCCTTTGAGGACATTTCGCTTCTGAACCAAGAAGCTTCTTCCACCATCCAGTCAGAGCTGAAGAAGCTTCTTGGATGAAAAGTGAAACGCCTTCAAAGAAAAAAACCAAGACAAGCCCAGTTGCCTCCTGAAAAAGCGCCTTTGGGGGCACTGAACAAAAAAAAAGACTTCTGACTGTTTTTCACACTTACAATCGTTGCAGCGTCCTCACACTCACGTGATCAAAATTCAGCCGCTTGGCAACTGACTCATATTTATGACGGTGGCTGGGTGTCCCGGTGTCCCGCGATCCCCTTTTGCGACCTTCTGACAAGCAAAGTCAGTGCGGAAGCCAGATTCCCTTAACAGTTGTGTTCCTAACTTAGCAACTGCAGCGATCCACTTAATCTCACTTCTTGTGGCAAGAAAGTTTGTAAAAATGGGGCAGAATTCACTTGAGCAAACGTATCACTTAGCAACAGAAACGTTGGGCTCAATTGTGGTCCTAAGTCAAGGACTGCCTTGCATTCTGGAATATACATTGGCTTTGACCTGTATGGCCTCTACCCTACCACTGAATGGCCGGTTGTTCTTGTTGCGTGAAATTGCCTTGTACTTTGGAATAAGGCTGTGCCCCGATATCTTCTTACTCTGCCCAGCAGCGTTTCTCTAAATTCTTTTACCTGGGATCCCATTTGACTTTTAGCTGTAGGCTAGGTTCCTGGGTCACCCCATAGGCCAGGGGTTTGCAACCTTAAACACCCAAAGAGCCATTTGGACCCGCTTCCCACAGAAAAGAAAACACTGGGAGCCAATAATTTAACAACCGGTGTGACTGGGTGGGCGTGGCCAACTTGACGTCAATCACTCCCACACAGTCACTTCCTGCTCTGGAATATGGAGTCTCCATCCCCCGCCATCCGCCATCACCCTTACCTTCTCAGGCCAGGCGAAGAATGATGGGGAGGGGAGGGACCAGCCAGTGGTAGGATCAGCCGATAGGGAGCCGCAGCAGAGGGCTGAAAGAGCCGCATGTGGCTCCAGAGCCGCAGGTTGCAGACCCCTTCCATAGGCCAAGAAAAAGGAATTTACCTCTTGCCTGACTGCTGTCTTCTGAATTTGGCCTCCTTTCCCTTTTACAGTGGACCTGTTACAGATGCTGGAAATGAACATGACAATCGCCTTTCCCGCAGCTCCTTTGCTGACCGTCATCTTGGCTTTAGTAGGTAAGGAGACCACCTCCGCTTTTAACCTCCAGAAAGGATCCGCAATGGTGGGGAAAGGGGCAGGAAGCCCCTATTAATTGGAAAGAACTCAAACACTTTTCCAGTCAAGACTTTCCTTGGTTCTGCTTGTTTATTCGTTTAATATTTATTTGACACATTACTATAGTACAGTGTTTCTCAGCCTTGGGGATTTGAAGTTGTGTGGACGTCAACTCTCAGAATTCCCCAGCCAGAATTGAAGTCTACACAAGTCTGGGAGTTGAAGTCCACACAACTTCAAATCTCCAAGGTTAAAAAAAACAACTGTAAAATCCTCCTTTCCAACCTATTGAAGTATCCTTCAACTACCCTGTTTCTCCAACAATACGGCCTCCCCCAAGAGGAAATCCCAGCATGTTTTATAGGCATGAAATGAAATTAAGCCCCTCCCCCCAAATTAAGGCCTATATTAAAACATGCAAAATGGGGGGGAATGGTGGGGGGGGGCTTGCCGTTAGGAAGTACTTTTGTTGCACACCCGGATATGGTGCTGCCTGCATTGACCCCGATACGAAGTGCCCCACCAACACCGAGGTCAACATCCAAGCCGTTGGCACCCGCCCGAAGATGCAAGGGGGGGGGAAATTAAGTCACCCCCGAAAAGACGGCCTAGCCATTTTTTCGGGGCTCAAAAAAAAATAAGACCCGGCCTTATTATATGAGAAACACGGTACCTACCTGCCTTTTGTCAACTGTCTTAACCCATCGTATTGAAGAAATACCTTCTGAAGGACTGGAGGCCTTTCTTTCTTAAAGATGAATGCAGAGCTTCCAGTTTTTTTGCAGTTATGCCGAGCACAGTCTGTGGATTTAAAGCCATTCTCTGTGTGGCAGAAGTTTCATGGGTGCAAGAAGGCATCGTACTTGGGCTGAGATTTATGGAGGGTGATAATCTCGCAGGCAGCACGTTGACGTTCTCTTCCTTGTCTTCCCTCTTGAAACAGGCATGGAGGCCATCATGTCCGAGTTCTTCAATGACACCACCACGGCCTTCTATATCATCCTCATTGTGTGGTTGGCGGACCAGTACGATGCAATTTGCTGCCATACCAACACAAGCAAGAGGCACTGGTTGAGGTACAAACCTGGGACGGGACTTAGTCAGAGACTGACCAATGGCCTCCCTGGATCAGAGATAGCAACCTTTGGGAAGTAGGGCAGAGTGGAGGGGGGGGGCTTGTAAATATTTTTGGAGGTGTCACAACGGGCAGGATAGATAACTTATTGTACCTGGAGGCTTTTCTAAAATATTTTGTTATCCCTTTACTATTTTTTAAATAGCTCAAGGCAACAAATACACATAAAACTCCTTCCTTCTCCTATTTTCCCCATAATAACAATCTTATGAGGTGAGCTAGGTTGAGAAAAAGAGATTAAACCAAAATCACTCAGCCGACTTTATGCCTAAAGCAGGACCTAGAACTCACAGTCTCCTGGTGATTGGCCAAAAGTGAACAGCCAGC